AAAATTGTGATTGTGAGCTTTCTGATGGCTCAATTAGATCTTTATAACAGTACAGTATACTACTTACATAAAATGGATATAAATATCAGTTGTCACTGTAGGTTTTTTTAATTATAATAAAAAGGCCTTTTACTTTCTAAAAAAGTACTATCAATCAGACAGCACAAGGTATGTAGAAGATTGCATACAACAGGTTTTTCAGCAATGTTTTGGTCATGTTGACAATTTGTTGATAAGAGCGCTTAGCAATCTGCAGATCAGATATGACACAGTAGGGTTAACATACATACGTTTGTTTACACATATGTTTACCTAGAGAATTTACCATAGTTATTCCTTCCTCTTTTCTCACAGAAAAACATACTTTTCCCCTGAAGAGACAGTCCGTTATCTAATCTGCATTATTCCAGATGAAATACAGGATTTCCTTTGGCTCTTGAAATACTGGGGAAGAGGCAGCTTTAGAGAGACACTGCCTCGGAGTATGTAAAAAAAAAAAAACTGGGATGCAGCTGATACATCCGCAGGGGCAGTGCATGAGGAAATCATATCAAGCACCAGTACCAATCCTGATGATTAAACCCATCAGTAAAAGTGACTCTACCAATGGCACCAATAAGTGTCAGTACAGGGGGGCAGATAGCATGGCACTGCCCAGTGACAAGCACCCAGAAACATGGCGCATTGAAGCGTGTGAGCCAACTCTCAACACCTCATTTTAACAGCCTCTAGCCATCCGTGGATGTCTTGAGTGTGTATGCGTGTGTGAATGTGTGTGTGCCATCACCCGCGATGGACTCTGACAGGGCAGGAGAAGGCCTTAAAGTGATGTGGTCTTTCTGGAGGGCTAATTCAGCCAGAATTAAACATCCGATTATGTACTCCCACACAGCAGACCAAAGCCACGGCTGATCACTTGAAATTAGACTCGAGCGATACAAGGAAACAACATGAGGTCGAGCCTTGACTGTGCTGCATCTGAATCTGTATTCAAAGTAAAACACTAACAAAATAAGCTGGACTATTATAATGATGCACGCATACGGATCAGTGACGTGAAGCTCATCTTTTCCATTATCTATTAATTTATTTAAAAATACAATTCATACATACAATAACTTGACTAAACCTATTCTATGGCCAGCATGTTTTTAATTTCTAATTAAAATTAATTAGATTTTATGCATAAAGTCAAAAATCGGCGATTCAACTGTCATGAAAATATAATAGTCATAACTGTCATAATATTATATTAGTTATATTATATTTATACTATTATATAATATTTACAAAAAACTTTTGTAAAAATATTATGTGGTGCAACTCATATATTTATATTTACTTGAAAATTAATCATTTGTGTGTGTGTTTAATTTTACCTTAAAAAAATACTAAAAATGATATTAATAACAACTATTATAATATACCCACCCATATTGGTAACACTTTATTTTAAGGACCTAACCTCATTATTAACTAGCTGCTTATTAGAGTGCATATTACTAGCATATTGGCTGTTTATTACTACTTATAAAGCACATATTAATGCCTTATTCTGCATGACCATATTTTAGATCCCTTAATCCAACCCAAAACCTACACTTAACAACTACATTACTAACTATTAATAAGCAGCAAATTAGGAGTTTATTGAGGGAAGACTCTTAATTAATAGTGAATATGTGTTCCCTATTCTAAAGTGTTACCCACATGTTCAAGAAAAAATGAATAATAAGAGTACATTTCTAAGAATCTGTGTGTAGAGATGTTTCCTTTATCGCAGACACTATTATTTCTTATTGACCCATGTACCACTGAAGTGCTCATTTTGAAAGTCAAAGGAGTCAAGTCACGACAGATGAGAGTTGGTAGGCATGTTTTGTAATGAAGTGCACAACAGGAGCTGCAGTACACACCGTATCAACACAATTTATTTCCACTACAGCTTGTCGCTCAAATTCAAAAAGCGAAACCTATACACAGAGAGAAAAAAATATTAGTGCCATCACATAATGTCTGGGTCACAAATGAGTGGGCAAACTGTGGAGCTCTTTCAAAGTTCACTGTGCTCATAAATTCAGATGCTGGGCCGTCTCCGTAGCTAGCATTTGCCAAAGTGCAGTTGATGTTTGTTTTATGTGCTATTCTATCATGTTTAAGTACTCCAAGGCAAAAAAGAGATCAGATGATTTTGTATTTTATAAACAAATATTGTACCCTGGAAATACCATGGTTATGATACTACACTGCCTAAGATGTGAAAACTTTTACTTTACATGTCCTAATGGTTTACCTCAAACAGAATGAGGTAAAATACAAGAAAAGGCCAATTAAGAAAAAATGTTCCAACTCTCAAACCTAACTTCCATTTCATTTTAATTTACTGAATACGAGTAAAACATTTTCATCAGCTCAAGCAGCATGAAATAAATGTGTCAAAAAAAAGAAGCTTTTCTGCAGTGATACTGTTTAACAAACTGGTCTAATGAATGTTGCCAACACACATTCTTCAACCTCCAGACAGTCTCTGCTGAACTGAGTGGCATCCCAATCAACTAAAACACTATTAAGCTTTGTAAAATGATAGTCATTTGTTTCTGAAACCTTTTAATTCGAAGTGCTCAGACTGACACTGCCACTTTCAGAAGGTTCACAACACGCACCGAGGGCACAAAGTACTATTCATAAATGCCTTTGATCTCACGTTAGAAAAGGAGAGGAAGTTCACATTTTCCACGAATTAAATTTTCAGACCATCCAAGTGTCTGTTCTGTCTTTTAATAGAGTGAGCCGTGTCCTCATTCACCTCGTCAGAGGCTTTGTGTTAACGGTAATCACTAAAGGAAAGGAAGCTGCTCAGTAATTACATGCTAGCGCTTACATACTAATCACTGCACACTCGGCTGACGGAGATGAAGAGAGCCAAGCGCCAGGCACTGTGATCATGTGCCATGAATTGAAGAGTTTAACCTGATTCTTTATCATTTTAGACTATGGCTTGATATAATAAGACAAAAGCTTAACGCTTGATTCCTGAACAGGTCATTTGAAAGAAAATGTCCTCCAGATTTCACAAAGGGCTAATTTCAAGTGTCTAGTACAGGAAAATTGTGCCTATTACTGTGAAAGATTTAATAAGATGGCGGAATATGGCCTCTATCACAGACATGGGAGGCATAAAGTTGATCAAATAAAGTTAAAAAGAGCCTTGTTTAAACTATCAAGACACACAAAAAATAAATAAATAGAAATAAATTATTTTCAAGTGAAATATATTTAAAATTTAGTGACAGTGCTACCTCAAACAGGCAAAAAATTTAACTGGATTTGTGGATGACATTATTTCAAAAGGTATTAGCTACATGCCCTGCATTTGGAAAATATCCCAATGCTGAATTTCTCTTTTCGTCATTATCGAGAATTACAATTTCGAACAGTAAAATCAAATCCTCATATATACGGTTTACTGGAATGGGTTAGCATCTTACCAAAAGTCCCCACATTTCAAATTAGCTTTCAATGTCTATGTATTTCCATTTGTGGGTAAGAGATGCTTCCTGCTTAAAGTATAATGCAACGCACAGGTTCTCCTTCATTTATGGGTCATATACTGTAACACGCATAATTCCATACCAAACAGAAAATTACTTGAATATCTCTTCCTCAGTCACTGAATTAAGCAAAACAGATATCAAGTAAGTAAACAGATCAAAATAATAACAGTAAAATAAAGGCACAAATTGCTGCCTATAGTTTTGTCTTCCAAAATTACGTCACACGGAAAGTAACATAATAGGCTAGTCTGATATGTTTAAAAGTACGTCTATGTCCCTTTTCTCTCTTCAATACGACAGTAGGGATCAAACAAAATGCATAAACTAGTGACAACAATCTCAAGACCAGCATTGTGACATTTCAAGGTTGCATATTTCCTCTCTCCGACTCATTTCTAGCAAAACACAGCTGGTCCAGCTGAAACCATGCGAATTAAGATCTGAAGCAACTACTCTGTATCATATTGCAGCATTTACAGCAAAGGCTGTGATATTCAGGACCATATTGATGGATCTAAGTATAAAAAGCACTACTGGAATATTTGAATGCATTAGATTTTGTGTTAACTCTCATTTGTATCACTTATCTGCATGTATTTTATTGGTCCACTCCACTATTGTTAACATTTCTTTGACCACTGATTAATAATATAATATAATAATTCTGGAAATCTTTTTGAATGTGTTCCTTATTTCAGCTAAAAATAAGACCGACGAAAATCTTGATTTTATTCAGAAAATAAAAAAAAGCACAAAGAAGCTAAAGCCACACTTTAAAATGTCATCATTTCAGTGCAGTAATAAAAATAATAAAAACCAACTGGAGGTAATTTCTCATGTTTTGTCGACGTATGAAGACAGTTCTTCTCAAGTATCCTAGTAGAGTAACCACAGGTGTAATTCATCACAGTAACTGAACTAAACTGTAATGTTTGACAAACAGAAAGTTTCTATATACTATTTTTGAATTGAATATCTATAGTTTAATCATTTCAAATCTAATAAACTTATTTGCGTGAAATACTTTGCTTGCAAAGTGTGCTTATGCAAGCTTTTGAAAATCTCACTTGGTTTGATATGATGTTATTTAATGCAGTGTTCAAATACCATTTGGGCCACTGTATGCGAAAGCTGTAAAGTTGCATTCATACAAAAGACTACTCTTTAGTTTTATTTTTTTAGTTTAGATCTTCTTTTCCTTAGTTTTATATTTATTTATTTATTACATTAATTCGCATAACAGACACAGCAATAAGAACCAATTAACTTCAAATTTTGTTTTGCAGAAAAGAAACGCTAAGAAACATTTCGATGACAGCACAACCTCATATATTCATGTTTGCCTTCAGTTGATCGATAGATCAGCAGAAGCACTCGTAGCTAGGTTTTAAGCCAGTTAAGGCAGGCAGAAACAAACATACATTCGCGTGTTTAGTTCAGTCTTACCTCTTCCTGAAAGACACAGCGCGTGTTTACGTCATGACGTCACTGTGCGTGTGTACGCTCTCCTCCAGCGCTGTAGCGTGAAGTCGTTTGCAGGCGTCATGATGTGCTTCGTAGTGTGAACTGTGCTGACGACGTGGGACAGCTTTTGTTAAATTCACTATGAATTAATCGTTGTAATAAGTAGTTTTAATTTATAATATAAACATATTTTGTTGATAGTAACACATCCTTATATAAATAAATGCATTTTTATGCTGGAAAACCCATGTCATATCAGCTTAAGCCAGGTTTTGAAACATGGTAGCTGGTTTGTGGTCCAAGGTGGTCTACTAACTCTAACTTGCTTGATCAAGGTCTAAAAGGTCGATCTCTGACCCACAAGCTAAAACCTGTCATTTGAAGGTGGATTTTTTTTCATGTGCTTACTGATAGCAGTTATATGTGAAAGCTTAACAATGATGTCAGACAACTGAGTTCCTAATTATTATCTTCAATCATTCATAAATCTTTTGTATTCATCCTTTTAGACTTATTGATTGATTGATTGATAAGAGTGATGCTAATACTACAGTAAGTGAACACATTTAGTAGTAACTATAACTGTGGTACAATTAGAAATGTTGGTAAATAGGTAAATGTTGGTTATATATATATATATAATGTATACAAATATATTAATATATTTTTTAATAATTGCCATAAATGTACTGGGTCTTTATTTGAATGTGTGTTTAATATGTGCTTTGTGTGCAGATGTCAGTTTAGGTAAAGTACAGTGTGGTCAACAGCACTTACAACGGTCCCTTCAGTTAATCACCTGAATGGAAACAACTACAGCTACAGTCTCAGACCAGATCAATTATTATACTTAACTGAATTTAATCTGCATGTTATACCATATTGTATCATGGAAAGTGTCTCAAACATTAACATTCAGTGTCAGAACATATACACATTTAAGTGGTTTTCCCACTTATGCATTTATTTTCCAAACTATGCCCATCAAATTTTGGACAGCAGAGAAAATGTGTATTGCAGAAGGATGTAGCTTATGTATAAGTACTATGCGGTTCAATTTAATAGTGCTCTTTTATACAGTAACCTTAGCTTCTAAAATGTAATGGACTGTACATCCCTGCGGGAGAAAAGTGTCTTGAATAGTTCCTTGAAAATGAAACTTGAGATGAGTATGTGAGTTGAGAAAATTAGCAAGGTCATGGTTAATGGAATTCCTTAGAGTTCCAACGTCGAGACTTCACAGCCAGTTTGGCAGCCTGCAGCTGATGTTAATTTAGCGCAACCCAACATCATTCAACTTCAAAGAGACTAATAGAAGGCTATCATACTGTGAGAGACTTTGAGGTGGATTATATTGCTATGTGTAATCCACATCAAAAGGTAAAGGTTCCAGTAATTAATTAAATGATAGCAAAGAAAATGATACCGGGGAATATTCAAGTCTGATGTTTGATAGCTATTTTTCTCCAGTTTATGGAGATGATTTATAATATGGATGTCACTACTTATCACACACACACACACACACACACACACACACACATGCATACATTATATCAAAGATACTAAACTGCCAACTATTTTAATTTATTTTTCTTGGCTATATGGAAATGATTATTTTGCATTTAAAATAAATTAAAAGTGTCAATATCTGTCAGATTGTGAGGAAATTTAAATGACTTGATAAGTGAGATGTTACACAGGCTTTCAAAATTAAATTGGGCTACATTTATTCGAGCAAGGTCATTTTCAAGAGAAATTACAAATTAAAAATTAAATTATACTTCAACAGACATTTCAAAAAATCCCAACAACCACAGCCCCCCTTTATTTCTTTAGCTAAAAAAAGGGAAACAAGGAAAAACAAATAAGATGAATAAAGTGGAATTTTTCCTTTCAGTCAAAAATACAGTGTTTTCACAATATTGTATCAAAAGTTCCCAAATTGTAGATTCTCCTTCATCAGGTAAGTGTAGTATGATGAGCAATTCACAGCAATCGCTCCAGATACAATAAATGCTCTCTTTACGTAAAATTTGCTCCACTTGTAAGGATCCTTATTTACTAAAATATATCTATATCAAGGAACTATAATACTGTACACTACAGTATGAAATAAATATAATTAGGAAATATAAAATGAGTCACATAAATAAAATGGCAGTTTAAAATAAAAATGAATTTTGTATTGAACAAAACAAAACAAATCAAGATAATACTGACAGATGATCTTTAGAAAATACAGAAAATTGCACAAACAATATGTAAACTAAACAACTGCAGTCTAGATATACTAATACTGATGTAGGTATTTCAAATGACAAGGTGAAATATTTCATTTAATACTAAAGCAGGTGCAAAGAGAACTCTAGTTGACTTCGCTTCATACTGTACAAGGATGGCACTTGCAGAAAACACAGGTGAAAGGGTTTGCATATAAGCCTTTTCTCGAACGAAAAAAACACAGGCGTTGTGACGTCGCCTCATACAATGAGCCTTCGTCATTACAGTTACCCAAACTCTTTCCATCCACCCCTGGCCAATTTTAAGACTTTGCATGTTTAAGAATCATATAGTTATTATTTTGTTAAAGTTGCTTCATAAAAAAGCCATGGTGAGATGCCAAAACTTGAATGGCTGGTCAGGAAAAGAAAGGTAAAACCAAGGGTATCACAGTAAGTGATAATGACATAACACTGACACACTACTGCATCTTCAAGCGCAGTATAAGTACATATAGGCAATACTTTTTACCTTTTTTTGTTCATTTTATTTTTTGTTTTTTATTTTTCCTTTTTTCTAACACTTTTTTTTTTCAGAGTGCAATTTCCAGGCTTGTGCTACGACCACAATGAAACACAGGAGTTATATGGAAATCAGAACCGCACAGCTTTCTGGCTGAAAACTCTGTACATTTTAAAAACCTTTCTTTTATTTTTATTCTGACAATCGTATTTTTGCATAATATGGATTCCTTCATGTTCCAGCCTAGTTTCTGATGCCTGATTTCGGAGTTCCACTCTTTATATCGATGAGTGCAAGCCTCAGGCGCACGCTCAGATAACCAAGATGTGGCAGTGTGGTACAAATGAGAATCTGGCTCAAAGTCCCTCCAAAAGGGTGGAAGAAGGGTGCGATGCAAGCTTGAGGGAAAAAGAAAACAAATAATACAGGAAGCTTATTCCGAATTGCAGTAGTTAATCAGCATCCTCATTCTCGCCATCAGGATTTCTTTTGCCTGCCAATTTCCCCTCTTCCGAGCTCTCGTCCTCTGTCCCTCCCATTACTTCGCTCTCTTTCTCATCTTTTGCTGTTCCATCAGGGCTCCGAGTGTCAAATCTCTGCCCCTCTGTCTCCATTTCCTCTTCTTCAACCAACCTTGTCTCTTGCCTGTCAGTCACTTCCGGATATGCCTCCTCTGCCTCCCTGGTCCCACCCTCAGTTCCATCTCTCAAGATGGTGTTTTCTCGTGTGATGTCCTCGGTCTGGTCCTCTGGATCTGAAAAGCCAAGGGGTCCAAGGCCTTGAAGGTAAGCCCGACGCATGAGGAGCTCCGTGGGCTCCAGGGGTCCATCATTGTCGTGGCTATCTTGTTTGGCAGCCTCTCGCTCCTCTGCCTCCCGTTTGCAGTAGGAATATCGGTGGTTCATGTGCTGTGAGTAAGAGCCAGAGTGGGAGAAGCGCTTGCCACATTTGTCGCACTGGTAAGGTTTCTCGCCTGAATGTAGGCGTGAGTGCTCGATGAGGTGGTGCTTGTGTTTGAAGGCCTTCTTGCAAATCTGGCACTGGTGAGGCCGCTTTCCTGCAGAGACACAAAGAGAGAGGAGCCAACAGGTTAGCACAGCATCCATAACATCTTAAACCCATAAAAAACCATTTGAAAATTCTGTATGTGGAGGATGCACAAATTTCAAATATATTTCAATAAATTGTTTGCATTACTGTCAAATGTAAGGTCGGGCTGTGCAAAAAATCAAATGAGATTTTCATGCGCATCTCGTCAGTAAAGCCGGCATTTACTACACAGAGCCGTAGTTCACTGACAAGCAACACAAAATCGCATTCATAATCGGCAATGAATCGTCTGCGATGTTCAACGCGATTTTGCGTAGCTTGTCAGTGAACTACGGCTCTGTGTTTGAAAAACGCATTCGATTTTTTGAACAGCCCTAATGTAAGGTAAAACATATTTAGTACAATTTACTAAGACACATCTTTCAAGTAACCACACATATCCCTCCTTACGTGTACCACATGATTGAATTACATTAAAAAACATCATATTTTTCTTCTTGTTTAGGATTAGCATGGGGTAAAAAAAAATCCTGACTGAAAACCCCTTCATATCGAGCAGTGACAAACCCCACCGGTTTATTTTTGATGTTACCAAAACAGTGCAGGGAGGTGAGGGGGAAGCCACAGTCCTGATGTGCTATTCTGAGGCTGTCTGTGACTGTTCTGAATGCAGCCAAGAAGATCAGGTGATTATCGCTCCATGCCGCACAAGGTGAAAGTTTATGACATCATGTCTCAGGATTCGAAAATGCTTAGATAAGACATCTGCCTCGTGATGCCTTGTGTAATGCATACACCAAACACCTCACCTCCCGCACACCTTCCTCTTTTGCCAACTTGGATCACATTGTCTACTCTCAGAAAATAGGAAATTAATTCTACCCTAATCAGTGAAGTAGGAGGGACTTGCCATTTGGCATTCAGTCATTCCACCAGTAACATACTTGCCATAAAAACCCACACACTCGCCATCAGCACCAAGCACATGAACAGATGTACTATATTCTTGGCCACGAATAGCCCTGGCATGCCTGCAACACCTTCCATAGCAGTCAAACTTGAGATGGTCCCCTTCCCCACCTCCCCTCATCAAGTTCAAAAATAGACGAGACGGCAGATTCCTCTCTATGCATTCCGACCAAAGAATGTAAGTGAGGATGATGCAAACGTGTGAAAGAGAGGAGTCCCCCAGGAGGGTAGGTCACATTGTGGTGTAGAAATGCCTCGCACACATCAGGCTATCACACACCTGGCATAGTCCGCCATGTTGGCTTGC